CAAGATATGGTTTTTATGTTAATATCTGTAATCGGCTCGCATTTCGTTTTGTTTGGTCAATCCTTAGTGGAATTTATGTGAACTCCCATATGTGGTTTGGTCGAATATAGTGCCGAGTCTAAGTGTTCCAACGTCCACAGGACTTCACGAACAACTTAGTCGAATCAAGTTCGTCTAAGTCTGATTTGTGTTTTCCGTTTAAGTCAAGATATTGATTGTAGGATCTTGACCTAATGTAGGTGTTTGAGGAGTCAAGCCTCGACCCACGTCATTTCTAAAATTTGCTATCGTCGATCCGAATTACCAGGTGGGTTAGTTATTATAAAATTTCTATGCAATGTGTGTTTAAGTATGTTTACGGTTCTGGCGTGATCTATATATGAACGTGAATATGTAGCCTATTGATGTGAGCTATTATGATGGCTATCGGTACGGTTGTCCCCGTCGATGTAATACGGTTGCCCTTGCGAGGTAAGTCTCCTTAAGACCTATTATGAAAGGTCGTGTCCTTGCGTGGCACGTACTCTCGCCGTTAGGGTAATGAATCCCCTTTCCGCGACTATTATGAAAGATGTGTACACAAGAGTATTTATGTTTATGTTATGATGGAGATGAGACATATGTGATATTGTTTATGTTCATGCTGCGACCATGCCTATTTAACATATTATGAAATGTGCATTGCATAGTGTGAGCATTATTTTCCTCTTATGTCACTCCCACCTGCTCTTAACGGATGCAGGGTAAGTAGTGGTGCGTGACGAGACAAGGCGAGTGGTGGTCATGCCTATTTATTATGCTTATTTAATTGCTTCCGCTTTCTCATGAACTTATGTTAGTATTGATCATGTTGGATTGCATTTGGAACTTATTTATTTTGAAAACATTTGGATTTGATTTATGTTGAAAAACCTTTCTTGATATATGATTGAGAATATCCTGATGTTTATGTTTACTGTTTATGTGGTTAATGAAAACCGTTAGAAAAATCGGGTAATGAATCCCCGTAGTTCAGATATGACTTGAACTGTGTTTTTTTTTGAAAAGAATGAGTAATGCCAAAAGTTTATGATTCGAAAAATAAATTTCAAAAATTTTTACCTTGATTTTTGGAAAAGCCATGGATTTTCTATAAAAATCGATTAGGGCGTTACAATATTTGTATATATCATTGCCTTGGGAATTTCTAATAGGGATGCTAGTGAGAGATTTCAACGCTCAGAAGAAACAATTAGCAGAGCATTTCATGAGGTTTTAGAATCAATAAGTGGAAGAAGCAGACAATATAAAGGTCTTGCACGTGATGTTATTAAACCAAAGGATCTAACTTTTCAGTTCATACCACCTCATATATCTAATGATTCTAGATATATGCCATACTTCAATGTAATAATTCTTTTACAAATTACAAGAGTAGTAGTTATTTGATTTTAATTTTCCTTTTTGTCATATACACTAACGGTTTTCATATGAATGCAGGATTGCATAGGTTGTATTGATGGTACACATATTGAAGCATGTATTCTGGAGAAAGAGCAATTGCGCTATTGAGGAACAAAAGGAATCCCTACTTTCAATGTCATGGCCTCATGTGACTTCGACATGTGTTTTACATTTATATCTGTTGGGTGGGAAGGATCAACACACATGATACATCTATGAACTTTCCGAAACCTCCTGAAGGTAATTTATATTTTTTTATAATTCTTTCCTATTAAATATTAAATATGTCCCCTAAATTTAAATTATATTATTTTTAACAGGTCTGGTAACGCAAAACACTCCGACCGGCTTGAAATCGGCTTGTCTTCCTCCTCCTCGCCGGTAGAACGCCGCGCACCTACACAGAACACTCACACTGGAGGGGTTTTCCGGTGAAGAGCCTCCGATGCTTGAGTTAGTGTATATTTTACTCAATTCTCCAAACTATGTAATGGATAAATCGTAAGTCATAAGAAAAAGGCTCACTCCTATATATATAGGAGTGAGATACCTGCCCTAGGAGCTGCCCGGATTTTGGTGAGCTGTCCTACCCGCGCTGCCCGTCTGTACACACACAGTGTGCGTGTGTCAGAGGTGCAAGAGGTGGTCATCGCCACTATTGCTCTGCACCAATATACTCTTGCCACATGTCCTTCTGAGTGGAGGGAGATTATTCTTCTGCGTGTGCCGTTGAGATTGTCTGACAAAGTCCACGCGCCCCCTCGCGCTCCAACCACACTCCCGATTGCTCTTCACCCCTCGAGCGCTCGATATGTTCGAGCTTTCCTTTTGCCGAGTCCATCATCGACCATATCTGTTATCTTGCTCGATCACTTCCCTTTTGGCCGATTATTGCTCGACCCATACGATTGTCCCGATGTCAAGCTTCGCGCGATCACCATGGTAAACCGGTTTATTCTATAGGCATATAATATCCCATATCAAGGTCGATATTACTTAGTTGATAAGGGATATCCAGACCGAAAAGGATATTTAGTGCCATATCCGAGGATAAGATACCATCAGTCTGAATTCCAACACGAGTTGCCAGATAATGCTGAAGAAGCATTCAATCGGGCTCAATTCATCTCTTCGAAGTTGCATCGAAAGATCACTTGGAGTATTGAAAAAGAGATGGAAAATACTAACTAAAATGCCTAAGTTTAGTGTTGAGACACAGATTGATTTGATAATGGCGGCATTTGCATTGCATAACTTCATTCGGATCAATTCAAATGATGACTTGATGTTTGGATTGCTTGAGAAGCATCCAGAGTACATACCCAATGATGGACTACAAGATGAATCTGGTTCACATCCTGGCTACTACAATTCAAGAGAAACCCATAATGTGATAAAAAATATTCGCAATGACATTGCAAAGATAATTTGGAGTGCAACAATATAGGTTGTATGATTTATTTTTTTTGAACAAAAATATTTATCTTTCTTAACTGAATTTTAGTTAGTGTTTTTATTATTGAAAAATGTGTGTTTTTTTTTTCTATATTTAATGGAAATAATAATGATCATATTAATAATTTTTTTATAAATATTATTAAGCTAAACACGTAGTTTTAAATTTTAAGTAATTCTATTTTTTAACTAGTCTATAAGTTATTATTAATTAGTGTTCTTTTTTATTGAAAATTATAATTTAATTTTTTTACGTTTTTTATTAATCAATGGAAATAATAAAAAAATATTCATATTAATAATGTTTTATAAATATTATTAATCTAAATATATACTTTTAATTTTTAAGTAATTATACTTTTTAATTTAACTAGCTTATCAGTTATTTTTGCCAAACATCTTTAATAAACATCAACTACCTTATCAGCTATCAGCTATCAACTAGCTTATCAGCTAGGTTTACCAAACACAACTTTCGTTAAGTTTTGTTTGCTAATCAATAAAGTAAACATAATTATTAAAATGTCAATGTAATATCATAAAATAAATCCTTAAAGATTCATCAAATTCTAGTGGCGGGGACAATGAACGTGGACATTTACCAATTATTATAAAATGTAGGGCACATGTGTTCTTCACTAACATCTAAATTTCTTTCCTTCGTTTTCTTTTTTGTTCATTTATGCGAAAAACATTCAAATCCATGGCTAAACATTGGTTAAAGTTACTGCTATATTTAGTTGCTATGACAAAGATTCAAGTCTAAGAGCCGAGGAGAACGAGGTATGTTTGCCAGAGCAAAACGAGATTTTTCTTCTTCTTTTTTCCCCCCTTTCTTTTTGAACTTGATACCGCCAGAGCATGCGACCATTCTTTCTACAAAAATTTAATATTTATGAAAGTATATTTTCTGGTTAAATACGAAATTAAATTAGCTTCGATTTATGTAGTACTTAAAAAATAAGGTTTTCCTGATTTTTTCACCAACTTATGATCCTCAAAGATATTATTATTATTGACCAAAAATTACAAGCAATGGTTGAAATTGAGCAGGAGAAGTGATAGACATTGGAGGCCTCAAATGCTATTCCACTGGCTCTAATGCTTCCGATACTGCCGTCATATTGGCTTCAGATGTTCATGGTATATGTGCTGCAATTAATCAAAATTATTTATTTACTTTTTATTTATTTTTTAAGGGTAATTGATAAGAAGGGGTTTTCATTTTTCTTCTTAACAATAACTAGTGTGTACCCCGTGCGATGCACGGGAACAATATTAAATTAACAATATTATAAATAGACCTCGAGTTTGAGTCACTCAATGGCGGAAGTGGAAACTACTATTGATGCTATTTAAAAAGAGGAAGAAAAAAAATAATTATAAATTAAAGAGGAGGATAAACAATACTTAATAATTATAAATTAAAGATTCGGGGTCAAACAATGTAAAATTATTTTGTATAAGAGAATATAAAAAAATTTGAGTACACACCATTTCAAAATTATTATTATACTTTTTTGTATGGTTAGATTATAATATTTGTAAAAATATTAGTAATTAGACTGATGAAAATTAGCTTCTTAAAGTAGATAATGGATTTCTAGTAGTAATTATGAATTGGTTTCTATTTTATATTATTTTTTATTTTTAAAGATAATGAATTTCTAGTAGTAATTATGAATTGGTTTCTATTTTATATTATTTTTTCAAATCTGTATAAATAAGGGATGTGATTTTTTAAACACGTGGGACGTATGCAATGAGATTTTGTAACAAAAGAGATAAGCTCGTGTAGATTTATACTAAAAATAGGAAAAAGAAAAACAAATATCTATTGTGAAACAACGGTTTTGATAAACTAAAAAACAAGAAAAAAAAAGAAACAAATCTTTACACAATTAATGAGCCGATTTTTTTGCCTATTCAAATTTGTCCAACAATTACTATATGTAGGATATATTTAATGATTTTGGCGGAAAAAGGTTTCTAAATTTGTAAAAAGGTTATTCTTTTTAATATAATGATAGATTATTTTGACATTTCAAGTTCTGTAATTATTCTTTTTCTATAAAAACGCAGGATATGGCGTTCCCCACTTGAGGTACTTACCATTATTGAAATTTCCTTTAGACAAATAAATTGTATTATCTGACCCACCACATTTGGCCATGAAGAATAATGAGCATCAAGTTTGCAGTAGAATTAAAAAGCATCTATATGTAAACAGATGCTTACAATTCTAGGCAATACAATTGCTAAACACAAAAGTTTAGTTTGTTCGGCATATATGCCATGAAGAAGGTACAAAATGCAGCTACATCTATATGCGAATAGATTGCTGTAACAGTTGGCAATATAGATACAAGATACAAAAGATACAGCCCATAGAATCTGTGTTTCCCAAAAGTGGTAATATGCAATCATACAGGAGCTAATCCATTTTTGGCCGACTTTTCTTTGTCGGACTTGCATCACATATCGTACTGGGTTGCTGAGTTTGCTGGGCGGATGATTCAGGAATGTTGTTGGATGGGATAGTGGTTCCTGAGGTGGAGGATTGATGACTGTCAAAGGTGATGCGTTTTTTTGCCGTGGATCCCGAACCTACAATTGTTGTAGGCTTTTCACGTGCTGGAGTGAGGGAGTCAAGAACATTTTTTAGTGTTGGACTGAAGAGTTCTTTGTCCGTTATCTGTTTCGCGAATGTAGATTAGTCACAGTAAGTGTTTGTTCAATAAGCATTCTATGAAATTTTTATACATGTCATAGCTTATATTGTACCTTGGTTGAAGCTGAGTCTGACTCTTCCTTTGCTAGCTCTCTAGGCTGAAGCAGATTTTTGTCTGTTCGCATGCCATCAATTGTATAGAGCTTCAGGACAGTATGGTGAGTTGATTCATAGTGTTTGATGAAGCAAACCACACGACGTCCGCTCATTGCTGCTGCCATCTGAGCAGTCAAATCCACTCTCTGTACCCAGAAATAAAATGTATTTTACAATAGTTAAATAGAAATGATCTAGAATAGCTGGTAAGTGCACAAGACCGATTATTGATTATGAAAAGCAAAAAACAGTATGGTATTAGTTTCCAACAAGTCAATATATTATAGTTATAAATGGTTAAAGGGATAACTGAAGCAGTTGCTATGAATTAGAAGGCATAAATTTTGTTTTGGTTCCTGTATAAATTATTGCATATAAATATGTTAAATAACCTGTTGTTCAACTTGATATAAGTCGGTCCCATTAAATGGAATCACTTGTTCAGCATCTGAATCATACAACATTGCATGTATGTTTCCTGTCTCATCTTCAATTGCAATCGGTAACCGGCACCTAATTGTTATGAATCAAATCAAAGGTAATATGTGTTAGTTTGAGGCACATACAATTAATTAAACAGCTGACAAAGTTCCTAATAATATTAAAGGTCTGTAATAACTTATGTATAAGTTTTGTAGTATTATAATGATGAAACAATTATCATAATTTTGGGAATAAAATCTGGTACCTCACAATGTAAAATACATATTAAAATAAATAGATAATATTAGTAGAAGATAATAAGGCTTTAAATATTTTTCGCTCTCATTCTTTCCTCTCGCAGGCTTGCAGGAGTCACAGCTGAACACTCTTTCTCTTTCTCTCTAATGTTTCTCACTCTCCCTTTCCTAATATTTTCAGCATTTTTTCTATGATTTTCAGTCATTTCATCGAGCCTGATTTGTTCATTTCTGGTGATGCAGATTTCCTCTACAATGTGTGGAAATAAGTTTTTTTACTTGCAAAATATGCTGTGTAAACAGAATGGCATGTGGCAAACAATGAAGATTAGGTACATGAAAATTAAAATAGCAGGAAGTTTTAAACTCTAAGAAGCTTGTATTTGAAATGAGGCAAAACTACATAAGCATACAACTGTAGATTGATTTCATTTCATTCATAGAAGTTAGAGTTATTTAATGATTAATTCAAACCTTGCTTCAACAAGGGTATCTTCTTTGCAAATTCGACATTTTACAGGCGTATTTGGAGGCACATTATAATTTTTGCGACAATTGTTGCAAGTAGCTGTCCACAAAGACCTGTTGTCTCCCAAATATTTCAGCTTGCCAGCAACCCAACAAGTTTTAGTCTAACAAAAAGATTATTAAGTTAATGGCTGTAAATTTTCAATACTGAAGATATGGTGCTTAATATGTTATTTTATTTGCATAATCGTAATTTGATGTAGCTTACGTATCTGATGGAAGCAATTGCGCGTTGAACGGTGACTATCTCACTGGAAGATGGGTATGGAAACAACTTGTCTGTGTCCTTATACATGCCTTCCTCCACAAGCTTCATAATAGTTGCTTTGTTGTCAGCGTACCTATTAAAGAGTATGTGAGAAACAACCAAAAGGTGTGGTGTAATATTACAATTATTATATTGGAAATTGTGCAATACGTACCATTGCTTCAATCTGTCAGCAGCTACTATTGGTAGATTTATCATTAAGCAAGTTCCAGTTTTAGTTGATAACGACAGCCCTTTATAATGATATTGTGTTAATCAGATATGAGTGAATCATCAATTGTAATGTAGGAAATTGAAATTGCGGTCTATGATACCATTAAACGTCGTAACCCTTATCCTCATGGACAAAATGATGTTCCCAGCTAGTACTGTATTGGCCAAGTGTTGACCAACATCATCTTCCGTTTCAAATTGATTCCAAAGAGTCAAAAGGACAGGCTTTTCCCTGGTAAACAGACACTCATAAGTATAACTATTATATTGTTGAAAAAAATTTGAGTTATGATAAAATTCTTACTCTTCATTAACAATCACCAACTCTCGGGCCGTATTTTTTTGTCCCACGCTTTTGACCGGAAAAGCATGCACAACAACACCAAGAAGGTCTAGTATGTTTTTAATTCGACAGTGTTAGTTGGTTTGTTGTTTGAGCAAAGCATGTGGAAATTGTAAGCAAAGTAATATTTCAAATTTTAGACAAATGAGCTCACTTCTGGGGTTCTCTGTATCTGCGTATTTGTGCAAGTCTGCCAACGTATGAATTTCAATCTGGCATGGCAACTGAGGGGGCATTTCTTCCTGGAACTCCTCTACTAAAGTTTTTTTATGCAGGAGCCAATTAAATTCATAAGGGCCAACCTGGTACAGCGGGGTTTCTGGCCGCACTTTTGCTCCAGTAAGGTAGTAGCGCTTGTAGGGAAGTACAGACCATCAAACTCTTCTATGGCTGCTTTGTAGACTACAGCAGCTACTTTGGTACCCTGTTATGCCAGAATAATGAATATGTCATCGTTATAGTTCAGATTTATTATTTAAGTCAACTAACATACAAAAACACAAGGCATTTATAAACCTCTCCATATGTGAATAAGTATCTTCGATAGGGCACGTGTGAATCACTTTTGCTTGTTTGAATAGGTGCCCTCTCAACTACTTGAATGAGCGCAGTCCAGTTCCGCGTCTCATCAGTGATTTGGCTAATAGGCAAATAGGTCCTCGACATTGTTACCTGCACCGATTGATAATTGAGAAATCAAAAATTGGAAAATAGTAGACTTTATGTACAGTAGCAAAGCACACAAAGTTTTTGTAGCAAAGCACACAGAGCTTTTTTTTTTTTTTTATCATAGTAATGTAAATTTTAATTACATTGATGCGTCGCAGCTGCTTCGAGCACTTCGTTGTAAACTATATTTTTTGTAGCAAAATTGTTTTGTGGATCAAAAAAAGGTGGTCTAATAACAAATTTAACTGCTGATGATACTTTTGCGCGTGACAATGCCACATAAAGTTGACCATGTGAAAAGACTGGTTCTTTTAAGTAAACACCAACTGAATCTAATGTTTGCCCCTGGGCTTTATTAATTGTCATAGCAAAACATAATCGAACTGGGAATTGAATTCTTTTGTAAGGGACAGGAAGTTGGTCATCACTCGAAGGTCTTAATGGAATTCTATGTATGAAAACATTCTTCCCTTTGAAGTCTCCTACAGCAATTTCTGCATGAATAATGTTTCGACTTAATTTTTTGCAGATCAGTCGGGTTCCATTGCATAATCCTTCTGTTGGGTCTAGATTTCTAAGTAGTATGATAGGAGCATTCACTTTTAACTGAAGCTTATGTGGAGGCATGCCACCAGGTGTTAAAGAATTTATAATGTCTTCATAGAGGCCTTTATGAATGGGGTTTATTACTTCATCGAAACTAAGGTATTCAACTAATTGTCCTGGGAAATCCATAATCAGTTTGTTATTTATCTCATCTACAAAATTATTTTTTGTAGCCAATATTGCCCTATTCATTGAGAAACTATGTTGCTCATTTTGTTTTTCTTCAATTTCAACATTTTTTTGTACTGTTGTACTGCAGAACTCAGGATATATTGAAGTTATTAATTCTTGCAAGGCAGTGTCAGTATCTGTGTTTTTTATTACAAGGGAAGCAGGTAAGTGGATTGTATTGTTTTCATGTGTCGGCTCTATACCATTTCCTATTCTTAATAAGTATTTAGTAAAGGAGGGATTATGTCGTGCCCGCATATTTTCTTTTAGTTCAATTTTCTCAAGCAAAGGCCAAACATAAGAATTTGTGATGCATGCATTTATTGTATCTTTTTTGTTTCCTTTTCGGACAACTGGTAAAATTTGTCTAAAATCACCACCAAAAACAATAACTTTACCACCAAAAGGTTCATTTGAATCTGTTAGGTCTTTTAATAAGTCATAAAATGATTCTATTGATGATCTCTTAGCCATTGGTGCCTCATCCCACACTATTAGTTTACATTCACGTATTAAGTTTGCCAAATTACTTTGTTTACTAATTTTGCAATTTTTTCCCTTGGACAGATCAATAGGTATTTTAAATCTTGAATGAGCTGTTCTTCCACCTGGCAAAATTGAAGCGGCAATACCGGAAGTCGCAGTTGCCAAAGCTATATATCCTTTAGATCTAAGGTCAGCCAGTAAAGCTCTATAAAGGAAAGTCTTTCCTGTTCCTCCAGGGCCGTCAATAAAAAAAGCACCTGCTTTTCCACTATAGACACGCTGTCGTATTATGGTAAAAGCCTTTCTTTGGTCTTTATTAAGTGACTGAATAGCATTTAAGTCTTCTTGTGTAACTAAAATATTTTTCTCAATTGTTATTTCTCTATTGTTTTCCTCAATGTCAATAGGTATATTAGGAGGCACTATGTTGAATGTATGGATATTTTTTCCCATTGATTCTAGAAAACCATTTATTTGCTCTAAGACCTTCTTCTTAATGCCTATTTTATTTAAATTTGAATGCCTTGTGAAATACTCGGACATGGCATCTTCGAATTTTTGAAACAATTCTGCTGGATTATTAGGACACGAATAAACAAGTAAGGTCGCAAAAAGGCGTCTCATTTCATATGGCATTTTTAAAAGTGACGCTTCTTCTAAGCAAAGTTCTTGGGTGTTATCATCTTGGAGTAAGCCTCTTGCAAGAGCAGCTTCATGATATGATTTAGAAACGGTGTTATTAATTGTTCTAATATCTTTGTAAGATTTTGGGGCTCTAATATGCAGAAGAAGAAGCTTTAGGTAATACCTTTCGCCTTCATTTGGGTGCACAGTAACAATTCTAGCTATTGAATCCTTTCCGCCTCTTTTTTTTCATTTTTTCTCTTCTGTTAGCCACACAAAATGTTCTGGGAATTCTATGTATGTCAAATTTAATTTTTTGGCATGTTCGTTTGTTCTATTCATGAAAAAGAACTCTGTGAGCATAGTTTTATGATTTCTCGGATTATTTGCAATTCTGTCCAATCTATCTTTTTCTTTATAATTGATTGTTTGATAATTCTCTAAATGCACTGGTAAATTAATAACAGCAGGTTTTGTCTCGCTAATTGGGAATCTATATATCCTCCATGCAGCTTCAGGCGGAGAAACCCAACGCGCTGTTCTAAATAGTTCTATTTCATCAATCTGTACATTTTGATTGGATGTATCTACATGAAATTTAATTTTGTCATGGCCTTTACAAATATACTTATAAATATATTTAACAGCTCTTATAGAAGAACAAATCTCGACATTTATATGACAATTAAACTTTGCAAGTAAGTATGGGTTATAAGGCACCACCCATCTATTGTCTAATTTACAGCCTCGTACTTTTACTGTGACATTATTATCTCGTCTTTGATATTTTGGATATGAATTATTAACTTGAATAGTTACTTCTGAAAATTCCTTTGGATAGTTAAAGCGACACTTATTTTTTGCATTCATACACGAATTAGTCAAATTTAACTCTCCACAAGGTCCATGCATCATATGTTTTTTGACCATATTATATAAATGAGGATTCAATTGTCTGTCTGGTATTTCAGCTCTTACAATTTTATCAAATTCTTCAGGCCTATACAATTTATCCTTGTTTGTTAGGATAATTAACATGTGAGCATGTGGTAAGCCTCTTTTTTGAAATTCTATTACATATGTATATGCGATTACTTCTCCAAAAATATTTTTTTTAGAATATCTTTTTTCAACTCTTCAAATTTTCCGCGGAAAACTCTAGCCACTAAGTCCGGCCTATTTTGTGATTCTTCAGTTTCCTTTAAAAGCTCTTTTATTTCAGGCCAATTGGGATTACATGTCATAGTTAAAAAGATGTCAGGTTTTCCAAATCTCTGTACTAAAGTCATTGCATCTAAGTATCTTTTTTTCATGTTTCTTGGTCCTCCTATAAAAGTGGCTGGCAAAAATACTCTCTGGCCAATTTTTGATGCATTTGTTTCTCCTAATGCTAGAGAATCTTGTATGCCTTGCAAGAATTCTTGTCTAATTTCAGTCTGTTGTTTTTTAAAAAAGTCTAATCTTTGTGATTCAATTTTAACATACATATCGACTATATATTGTTGAAATAATCTCCCAAAATTTAGTAAGCATGACTCATCATTTTCCCTTATTTGTAATTTGTATGCATAGTAGTCCCTCATCGAAACAAAATTCCGGCCCGTTGCTGATATAACATTAGCTGGAAACAGAAAGCATGATGCATGAGAAGTTATTATAAATGGCATAAGTATTTTATTAAAATAAATAACCTGAAATCAATGTAAACAGCAAAATATTGGTAATAGGTGTTTTATTTATTAACTCACCATCCTCTGTCTCAATTAATTCTTCAGCTGATGTCGCATGACGTGTAATCGCACAGAACGGTGCTATTGTGGGTGGTGCATTTTTTGAAAGTAAGCCTTTATACTTTTCTATGCCTCGGTGCCAACCAAGTTCACCAAATGGGAAAAGCAATGGATATTGCAATGGATCATAACAACCGAAATAATATTGTATTCTATGTGGTAAACCACTATGACTATACACTTTGATATTTCTTTCAGATGATTCTTGACCATCTTCGTTCTCTACCCATATTGCGGCTACTTGAGAGGCCTCTGGCTTATTATACACTCTCTGATCAATGTTTGGATTAGTCTTTAATGTGATCTCGTATTCATCCAAATTGTCTATATCATTAAGGCTTCTGAAAAACTGAGCATATGGGTTTTCCCTTAGAACGGCTAAAAATTTTTCAATTATAGATTCTGTTAACCTAGGGCAGACTTTCAATTGATTCGCTATTTCATTTTCAGTGTCATGGAAATATAACTGTAAATTTTGAGACGATTCTAAATCATCCAAGAAGTGATACATTTGGCCTTGTATTTTGAAGGTGTAAATCCCTTTATTGCGTTTGGTTAAATTTTTATCACATTTGACTCCCAAAGAAGTAAATGCAAATTGGTTGTTGACGGTCCTAATACAATCTCGAAAGAGTTTAGATTCCTCATTTGCGGAGAAAAGTAAATCTTTTAAAACCTTTGGCAAGGAGTTATTTGCTAATTTAATTTTTCCGCTTAAACAGCAGAATGCAGTTGTTTCATATGGGAATTTAATGGCACCACAATAAAAACATTTTCTGGTTTTTCGAAAAATAAAAGCCTCACCTGGTATGTTATCCCAAATATTATGGTAAACAGCGTGCGAGATACCTATTATAGATGTAAATTTTATTAGGTGAATTTGTTAGTGCAAGCTAAAATAATTTATTTGAAGAAATTAAGAGGTAAAAGGATAATAAAAAGGAATCCATGTTGAGGAATAAAAGTACACTTAAATGGTTACCTGTGCTCTGGGAAGTGGACGCTACATTTTCTGTGAATTTTCTCAAACTGACCGTACTTTGTGTATATAAAGATGAGCTGGAGGCATGATCCAATTCATTTAAACTAACTGGAGTTTTTGAATTTTGTAAACTTAGAACACAACCGGCAGTTGGTGGATTATTAATAGTGCTGTTACTGCGTAAGGGTTGACTTAGATGCGAAAGAGTAGTCTCTATACCTGCGACCCTTTTTTTTTTTTTTTTGGCTTGCCATTTTTCAATAGCATCCTGTCTATATGTTTTGTTAGAAAGTTGTAGAGCACAACCAGAGTCTTGCAAAACTGTATTTTTTGTTGAATCGGCTATTTTAAAATTTAACGTTTTCTCTACATCACATAGGTAAGTTTCTTGCCGATTCGTTCTGTTTTCATCATGGTTTTTGTTTGCTTGATAAGAGATGAAATTTGTAGAAGTAGTTATTGAATTTTTGTGGAACTCACTTGTATAACCGTCTTCGACAGGCAGGTTTTTCATTGTTAATATTCTTCGTTTTTTTTTTTTGTTCTTCCATTTTTCAATGGCATATTGACGATACCTTTTCTTAGAGGCCAGGACTTCGTTAATGTAATAAAAATTTCCTGACAATTGCTTATTTCTATTTGACATTTCCTGGTAAATTTTGTAGACTTAAAATACAATTAACGCAACTTTATCAATTAAAGTTAATCAACAGAGCAAATCACCTGGATAAGTCTGTAATGTATTATACAGAGAACTTATGATAGCACCCCTTTTTTTTGGGGGGGAAGGGGTGGGGGTTGGTTTATTTGTAATACTTTACTTACACACCTATGTGAATATTTTTGTTTATTCTAATTTACCTTCACCATGCAATTCACCATGCAATCAGTATATTTCGCAATGACATAAAACACCGAAATCACACAGTTCACAGAAAACACATAATTAAGTAACCGCGAATAAGTAGCTAATAAATATGAGAAATAAACAGTGAAAACACAAATATTTTATTTTATATACTAAAAAGGCACCAGGTAATATAATCCTAGAGGCAAAATGATTTACTATATTCCCAAAAGGTAAGCAACAATTAAGAGGGCAATGGTAGCCATATAGCAAAATAAATTAATAAAGGAATAAAATAACAGTTAACACGCAATTCATATGAAAGGAAGCTAACCTGATAGCGATAAACAAACACCTTGTTATCCTTCCTGGTATACAGAATTTTAAACACTTCAGATAGCAGTTCCACTCAATAGCACAGTCACCTACATGTTTATTAATAAATAAACGATAAGTTAAGAAAATGACCCTATAAATAAATGTGCAACATCCCAAAAATTTCTGCAAACACATATATCAATGAAGAAGGAGCTAATTAACTAACAAGTATGTCTAACATATATATGTAATTAAAAGTTTCTTATGAGTACAACTTATTTTCATGTCTTAAAGAGCACTTAAGTTTATCACAGTAAAGATATTTTTTCATTACCTTATATATCAACCTTTCCAGTCAGCAGGTATGGAAGATTGTGGCAGTAGTCAAGACAGCAGTTCCTTTTAAACACATGACATAACCAACAACGATAATTAGACAGCCAAAAATGGCATATCAAAATTTTTCTTGTAATAGGAAAAAAATAAGAGAAACAGCAAACACTTTGTTGCACATATACATAGGCAACCTCTCAGAAAATCAAACAGACTTTATATTTTTATAACCACAACAATGTTCCAAAGCTCATGAATCCAAAAGAGTCCCTTTTACTAATTTAGTACAGGACTTATAAGCGAAGAAGAAAATTCATTTATGTGCAAAACAACATCTTATCAAATTTCAGTGAAACAGAAACAAAGACAATTGGTAAACCAAGAGAGACATACAAATAAAAGCAAATACAAACTGAAAGGACCTTAGAATTTAACTTTGTGGAAACCAACAACAAAAGGTTAATCACTGTAACAAACAACTTGTTCAGTGTATAGGGCCAAAAAAACTTAATCCCATCATAACAGCAAATTATGATGAACTTTATCTTCCCAAAATAAACCCCAAAGAGTAGCAAAAACCCAACATAGAGGAATAACGGGCAATATAACATATTTAGGCTATTTTTCATTGTATAGTCTTTAACCAAAGTAAATATTCTTATACTTTTTGGTTCATAAAAACCCTATAGGCTTTATCTGCATATAAACCCAACAAAACATGCTTGACTTTCTTTTTGTAGAACTCATAAACACCTAAATCAGTTGGCAATACAAAGCACATCCTTAAAAAACAGATAAATAAAAAATCCGGTGTTGTTTGCAGTTGATCTTTACTTGAGGGAAATGTCTGGAGAACCTAGCAAGAAGAACTTACCTGAAGATACATATGCTTCAACAGTAAAGGTTATAATTTTTCTTGAAAAAGTAAAATATTACTGCCTATATATACAATGGTAGCTTCTTCTATTAGCTTCTTCTCAACTAATGTATAGAATATTATATTATTAGTGGAGACAAATCAAATCAGAAGCCAATAAAAAATATTAATGTGGCTAAAATTAAACACATTCGACCTAAAAAAAGTAAAAAAAGCTAACCAAAAGCTGCAAACAAATATTTTGAATGATATCAACCAGATACTTTGTAATAATTTCAATCAATTGCCCCATACAATAGACGGCTGCATACAATATACATTGTAGAATTTGAACAGAAGAGCACTATGAATTTGTCCTCATCATGTAACTATTTTTCCAATTAAACTCAAATAAAAATGAATATTAAACTGGCATACAAAACACAAAACCATCAACAAATCTCATAGCTGTAACATTTCATAAGTCAAAGAAGGAGAGCGAGCAATGTAAACTGTAAAAAAAATTTTATAAAAAAAAAATAAATAATAAAAAAAAGGAGCTTTCCTGGTATGCATTTGCAACAGATTAAACCAGAATAGAGCCGAATTAAATTTCCTTGCGCCTACAAAACAAGATTAAAACACATACCAAACCTTCCATGTTAATTTCAGAGGTAAACGTGCTAAAATACATAAAATTAAACTGACGCGAACCCTCAAACAATAGATCAACCGAAAATCTCAAAAAAATTTCTGAAATTATTTACCTGCAATTGACCCGGCGCAATCACGCAAAAACAACAAAATAGACCTCCACTGGAACTAAACAAAGATGACCCAACTGTATAATTTCGAGACTGTAGCTGAAAAACAAAAACAGATTCAGAGTTACTCATCGAGGAAGACGACGGGATTGGAAAAATCGTTCTCGTCGAAAAAAAAAATACTTATAAAATGACCCAAAAGGCAAACAAAAGATAACCTCACACCAAAGGAACGACACCGTTTCGAATAAAGATCATCGTTTTTTTTTCTTTTTTGGGAACAGTCTTCAGATTCCTCGCGCACATGTCGTAAAGGAAGGTCGATCGTCTCTTCTTTTTTTTTTGAACAGGTATAATACAAAGGCTTCAAATTCCTTGCGCCACGTGTCGCGAAAGGAAGGCTCTTAGCATCTTTTTATATATTAAGAGTAAAGATATATCTGAAAATTGACCCAAATATACTAAAATATATATATATATAGGATGTGGTTCAAATGAGAATCAAGTCCTAGCGTGAGAATCATGAGAACCGCGATTTTTAATTGTATGAAGTGCTATGATTAAGTGTGTTTTAGTGTTACTTTTAACCATAATTTATTTTATTAAAAATAGCAACACAATTTATGTTAACATTTGTGAAAATGATATCATCATATAATATTAAAAATAGCATCATCCACAATTAAAAATAGCATCAAATATGGTTCTCACGGTTCTCACACCAGACTTGGTTTTTATTTGAACCATCCACTATATATATATTAATTAGAAAATAACCAAAATAAAAACTGTTCTAAAAAAAGTAATTTTTTGATTTGATATTATTCCACAAATCCAACATAAAATGTTACATCTATCATTATATAAAAAGAATAACCTTTGTACAAATTTAGAAACTTTTTCCCGCCAAAATCATTAAATATATCCTATATATAGTAATTGTTGGACAAATCTGAATAGGCAAAAAAATCTGTTCATTAAATTGTGTAAAGATTTGTTTCTTTTTTTCCTGTTTCTTAGTTTATCGTTTTAATAATAAATATTTGTTTTTCTTTTTCCTATTTTTAGTATAAATCTACACGAGCTTATCTCTTCTGTTACAAAATCTCATTGCATACGATCTTAGGTGTTTAAAAAATCTCATCTCTTATCTATGCAGATTTGAAAAAATAAAATAAAATAGAAATCAATTCATAATTAATACTAGAAATCCATTATCTTTACAAATAAAAAATAAAATAAAATAGAAACTAATTCATAATTACTACTAAAATCCATTATCTACTTTAAGAAGATAATTTTCATCGGTCTAATTACAAATATTTTTACAAATATTCTAAGCTAACCATACAAAAAAGTATAATAATAATTTTGAAATGGTGTGTAATCAATTTTTTTTATATTCTCTTATACAAAATCATTTCACATTGTTTGACCCCGAATCTTTAATTTATAATTATTAAGTATTATTTATCCTCCTCTTTTATTTATAATTATTTTTTTTCTTCCTCTTTTTAAATACGATCAATAGTAGTTTTCACTTCCGCCATTGACTCAAACTCGAGGTCTATTTATAATATTGTTAATTTAATATTGTTCCCGTGCATCGCACGGGGTACACACTAGTTGGTCACCAAAACGGTTCCAATTTTCGTAAGTTTGGAACAAGTGTTAATTNGGCATACAGCTGATGAAATTAGTGCAGCAGGATTCTATACTTTGGTTCCTGACTTTTTCCATGGAGATCCTTTTGTTTCAGATCTACCTAATAAACCTTTCCAAGATTGGCTCAAAAAACACCCCGCTGTAAGTTATTATCTTTTATTTTTATTGTGGTTATTGTTATTTATTTATTAGCCTCATGCTTGCATCTAAAGATGTTCACAATGAATGGTTGTGTCCTTATATATGTATTTTTTCGCTATATATATGTATACAAATTCATTTTATTTCGTAGGAAAACGCAATTAAAGATGCAAATAAAATTGTTAAAGCTTTACGAAACAAAGGAATAAAAAAAATTGGAGCTGCAGGTTTCTGTTGGGGAGGTCAGTCAGTCTTTTATATTATTGTTCAGTTTTTACTCTGTTTATTTAAATTATGATATTTATACAAGCATACAGTTTCCGATTTATATTTATCATATGATACAATATGATATAGTGTAAGTTTAAATCCAATGATCATATCAGGCAAGGTTGCGGTGGACCTCTCGAAGCCACCTTCTGTTCGAGCTGTTGTGTTGTTACATCCCACATACATTAATGTAACAGATATTCAGGGTAAGATTAAGTGGTTCTGTAATTTAATTTGGACTAAAACGAAACAAATTCAATTAATTAATTAATTCAAAATTTTGACAATTGGAAACAAATACTCAGGTGTTAATGCTCCAATTGCAATTCTTGGAGGTCAGAATGACACTCTGGTTCCACCATCTCTTATCAAACAATATGCATCCGCTTTGAACGCAACGCATAAGGTATCAATTCGACCCTTGAAGTAATTTTATTTATGTAGTTTAAACTATAACTTTTCAGGATGAAGCACGCATATGAGTTAGAAATGTATGGTGGTTTAGCTGCTAACAAAAGCCTGTATAAAATAACGACCGGTTTTGTGTTAGACAGACTTAATTATTAGGAGGACATACTCTTTTTATGAATCTATACATTTTTATTAGAAAATATCATACTTTTAAAAAAAATAACACACACATAAGTATGACATTCGACAATATAATATGTATTTTTATTTATATAATTGATGAGTCGATCCGCTTAATTGTGAGATTTTATACCTCACATGAAAATGTGTGATATAATAGAAGTTTATTACACAACTTCCCTAGAAGTTTAGCTTATTGATTACATATGATTTATATTTTTTATTTATTTTCTTCCCTCTGTGGGATTGTAGGTTGAGAGCTTTGTAAAGATATTTCCGGGAGTTAAACATGGTTGGACCTTAAAGTATAACAATACAGTCAAAGCTGCTGTGAAGATGGCAGAAGAGGCTCACAAGGACTTGTTGAGTTGGTTTGTTAAGTATATCAAATAATAACTACTATAAAACTTCATGTTGATGCAAAATGATAACTACTTTTGTATCTAGTTGAAAGCCATATTTGCCATGTTGATCGCTAGCAGAGCGCAGAAAGATTCTAAGTACGATTGTTAGCTTACTTTCCGTCCTATGCTGTTGAATGGGATTCAGTTACTTTTTATCCTTCAATCAGTCATATTTGGGGGAAAAATAAAACAAAATCAAATCAAGTACGTGAAGTGTTTGGATGGCGCCGAGATCGCGCTCGGGTGTTTGGCAAAATACGATCCTCTCTGCGTTTGGGATACTTATTTATTTGTTGCCTTACTTATTTATTCCATTTTCCTTGTTTGCTTTATTTAATTACGAGATTAATAATTGTCTGGTCTACTAAGTTAGGTAATTAGCTAGACTAGGATTTTATATTATCTGCTAGGCTCTCAAACCCGATCGATTGACATTGATTAAAATTGAGTTTTCTTGAGTTTTATACTCTTTTTTCCATTCCCACGCTTCTGCATACTTTAGTCGATATCATCAGTATGATTCAAGATGCCGTCGCGAGGAACGACGTGATGCTGCAATTGAGGATTTAGATCGGCGCGTGTTGGTCGTCGAGGGCTATGGCCGCCATATCCAGTAATTGGACCGTCGTGTTGGGGACCAATCTGTGGGGATCAAAGAAATCTGTCTGGCGATACGTAACATGATGGAAGGAGATCTGACGGAACGCGACTTCGTCGGTCGGGGCAGTCGCGGCGGGTTTCGCGGAGGCCGTGGCGGAAGAGGGCCGGTCGGGGCGCCCCGACCGCAGACGCTACCGGTGATGTTCGATTTCGATGATGGCGCGAGGAAACCCTATTGGATGTCAACCCCTTCGGCATCCGAAGGGACCAACGAGACGACAGGGATGGCAGGTGGCGCGCGGAGCACCAGCACGTTGAGAGCTAGGACGAGGTGCGCGGGCAGCGTCGCACGGCTGAGGGCGGCGTTGGCTGTTGGGACAGGCGACTTTCGAGTGGAGGTGTTTAAATTTTTATGCAGGCCCGACGCTGTCGAGTTTCTCAATTGGCTCCCTGTTGTGGATTCGGACCTCGACTTCAAGAAAGTCCTAGACGAGCGTCGTGTGGCGCTCATCGCGACGTGTTTGCGTGGCCGGGCGGCGGCTTGGTTCATGCTACTCAAAGGCGTGTGACATCATTCGGGCAAACCGAAGATTACATCTTGGGTGAAATTTCGTAAGCATCACGAATGCGAATTTTAACCCTTAAATATGTCCGTACAATTTATAAAAAATTCCAAAACTTGCAACAAGGGTTGCGCTCGGTTGACGAGAACAATGAGGAATTTTATCGGCTTCTTACGGGTATTAGTGTTCGTGAGACCACAGATCAACTTGTGTCTCGATATGTGGGTGGCTTCAGATACTCGATATGGGATACGTTGAACTTAATTATTCCAGACTCGGTGTCCGATGCGCATCAACGTGCAGTCATGGTGAAGCAGCAACTCACACGGCGGGCGTCATCGTCCATTGCACCGTTTGCGCATGGGGGTATCGAGGTTGGACAGCAAGATGTGGGCGAAACATTTGGGCGACTTGCTGGAGCTGTCAGTGGTCTAGCAGCGGGTTCAGCCCTCGTGGCGGCACTAGGGTTAGGGGCCTTGGTAGGTACGGGGGTGGCGCAGCAAGGCCCACAACAGATGGCTGAGGTTCAGTGTTTTTCTTGTGGTGAGTTAGGCCACCGTCAGTTGGCTTGCCCTTGGCCCAGCGGTATTCGCACTTTGTTGGCCGATGGTATGGGTAATCGCGAGGACTTCCCCTTTATGACGCACCTCTAGTTTTTGACGTGGAGCCCGTTGAAATGGTGGAGCACTTTACCGGTGATGTGGGCATGACTTTTGTGATTCGACGTTCTTGTTTGGCACCCCGTGACCTTTCTGACGAGCTGGCACAACGTCATGACATATTTGAGTCAACTTTTATTGTGGGAGACCGCGTTTGCCACCTTATCATTGGTTTTGGTTCTTACAAGAATGTGGTCACCAAGGAGGCCGTAGAGAAGCTTCGTTTGTCGAGTGAGCTTCATCCTCAGCCATATACTCTTGCTTAGATTTAACGCGGCAATTCCATTATAGGTGACCACCGTGTGTTGGTCTCTTTCTCCATTGGCCATACTAATCGTGATCAGCCGTGGTGTGATGTGGTCCCCATGGATGAGTGTCGTTTGTTTCTAGGCCGCCCTTGGTAGTTCCACAAAGCTGCTACTCACGATGGACGTCTTAACACTTACAACATCTCTTTTGGGGGTATTCAGATCGTCTTACATCCATCACCACCTAGACCTATACCGACGACGTCGCCATCACAGTGTTGTTTCTCTCGTGTGCTGCTTTTGTGGATGAGATGCGCAAGGCCCCTTTCATCTTATTACTATTGGGCTTCCACGCTGTTGGGTTTTATTAATAACATCAACGATGTGCACATTCGAATCTATCGAAATAAATCCTAACGTAGCGGAATCTGTAGTTAGGATTAGGACATTACTGTTTAAAAGTTTTTCCGATTCTGAGATGTTTCTAATATCCACTGTAGGAGACCGTCTGAACGGCAGAGTCCGTTGAGCAGCCTGACTTGGCTTCCTCGGTCGGATTCGATTCGTCGGGACTCGAACAGCTCGACGGGGACTTAGCTCCTCGGGCTCAGGCTGGTCAAACGTCAGTTGGGCTGCTGCGGGTCAGGGCTGCAAGCTGGCTGGGGCGTTGGCTTCACTGGCCTGGTTCGTCTACAGGTCGGGGCTATGCGGATGTAGCAGACAGATGCGCGTCGGGCGCTGGCTAGGCTCGATTGGCGTGCCCGTAGGGGAGCAGCGTCGTGTGCTGGCGTGCGCGTGCTGCGTCGCTGGCTATCCTTTGCTGCAAAGGACTCGTGTGCGTGCGCTGTGTCTTTCCAACGCCTGCGAGGACTAGGGCTCGAAGTCTCTAGTTCTCGAGCATGCGCGGCAAGCAGACAGGCGGACGGGCGTGCGACGTTATCGGGCATTGACGTGCGAGCTGATAGCTGGGAGATCGCGTCGTCCCTGAGAGCGTGCGACTGCAGCTGGGCGCGGGAAACTTCTGGCGGCCGTTGATGGCAACGATGTGGTGTCTCCAGTGGCTGAGGGCGGTGGCTCTGGTCGCCGGAATTTATAAATATAAAAGGCTCGACTAAATATTACCCAAAAGTCTTCTAATGTATTACCTAAACACCTACTTCAAATACTCTTGGTGGTGCGATTAATCGTAACTCCCAAACTCTCAATATATGATGAACTCAATTTTCCTGTCTTAACAAGACCTTAAAATCAGATCTTCAAGCGCAGGGGAAGAGGTTGGGACGTGGTGTATTATAAGCCACATTAGAGACCTTAAGAAAGTTCTAAATATGAGCTTGTCCTATTGTGTTTAGGAAACCCATTTATCTTCCATATCATTTCCCTTCTAGAAGCCTTATTCCTTCTAACCTTAATTACCCTTTGATGGGGCTATACCTGGATCTAGGTGAAACCAGTTGAGAAGAGCTTCGATCCACCTGAACCGCCTCCGGAGACATGCAAGAACACAATGCTGGGAGAGGTCCCGTCGTCGGGCCTCCGATGCTTAAGTTTGCACAAGCAAGAAGATAGAGCTCTACAATCTAGAGCTGGAATGTAAATAGAGTGTGTAGAAAGTGGGAGAGAGGGTTAGGGTTATACCTCAGACCCTTTTTATATGGAAAATACTTGCCCGGACTACCTGAACTACCCTCGGTCAACCCGCCCAAACCGCCCGAGATTCGATCTTATCTGTATCCTATTCACATTTGAGTCATCTTCAGATTCTTTCTTATCCATTTACTACCTCCAGGTCATGCTCATATAGTAATAGTGAACTCAGCTCTCTGTAGATCTCGTGGATGAGACCTCCTCACACTTAGTCATAGAAACTTCTAGTCTCCTCAGAACACCTCTAGCTCCTCATACTTAATCATAGAGACCTCCAGTCTCCTCATAACACCTCTAGCTCCTCATACTTGGTCAAGTCGAGATCACCTATAGCAGGTCGAGCTGACCTTTAGCTACTCTGTTAGGTCGAGATGACCTCTAGTTACTCTATCAGGTCGAGATGACCTCTAGCTTCTCTGTTAGGTCGAGATGACATCTAGAAGGTCGAGATGACCTCTACTCTGTCAGGTCGAGATGACCTCTAGCTACTCTGTCAGGTCTAGATGACCTCTAGCAGGTCGAGATGACCTCTAGCGACTCTGTCAGGTCGAGATGACCTCTAGTAGGTCGAGATGACCTCTAGCTCCTCATATTTCATCAAAGAGTCCTCTTTAATGCGATCTCCTCATTGAGACCTCATTATACTTAGTCACCGAGACCTTCAAGTCTCGCCTAGACCTCCTCAGGTTGCTCTTTCTTTAGATCTTGCTCGAACCTCTTCATGTTTGACTCTGGTTCACAAGTAGGGCTATATCACCCTTCTAGAAGACTTCAAAATATCCTAACCCTATGCTAATATTCCAGAAGGAATAGTCCTCTTTTTAGAGAATTAAATAATAGAAAATAATTAATTCCTAATTCTTACATAGAATTAAATAATAAAACATTACACTAGAGTAAAATTATTGTTCTCCCCATTTAACTTCAATTTATTCAATAAATTTGAACCTCCACTTGATCGATAAACATTAATCTAATTCTTCGATTTACCATCCCTATGTTTAAGATTTGACGTCTGTTGATTAATTAAATTACTGAAAAGATAATTAATCAACTTTTTTATTCATTTACAAAATTTGTACCACTCAGTTCCTAAATCATTATGTCGGAAAGGGCTTGACATAATATTCCTTCCTGAGCTCATTTCGGGGATGTCATCAACCCAGCGCACTGGGACATAGTGGCCGTAACTAATTATAACAACACATTATATAAACACCATCATTTAACAAAATACCGAGTATGTCATCTTAATAAAATAGGAATCACCCTTGGTAAATCAAATAAACAAGTAATGAATATATATGTCCGTTTATTACATACGGCTTAAGAGTACGCATTAATTACTGAAGGTCTAGAATATAACTGCAATCAGTAAATCTTAAAATCTTA